ATATATTAATAACAAAAAAATACTAGTTACACCTACACTTTTACAATTAGATAATACGATGAACGTCTTCGGGTACCCACCTGCTATTAATCGCGGCATTACCGCTAAGCACGGTGGGTATACGCCCCAAGTAAGCGACTGGTTTTAGGCAGTTAGACTTAGCTAGCAAGACGTTGGGACACCCCGGAATAAAATGCACTACGTCACCACATTGTACTAATGTTATATATGCATTAGGATGATTCATAAAATTAATTTAGTAAAATTAAAAAATTATACAATCTCAATTAGTTCCAATACTTATAAAAATGAGTTACACAATGTTTCAGGTAAATCAGAAAAGATTAATCCGTGCCACAAAAGGCCTAAAGTTTGATAACTCAAAAATTTTGAATAACCGTACATTTTTCATTGTTTTTTTTAGTTCACTGCGTGATATAATGGATTTACAACAAAATTGTAAGAACAAAAGTTGTTTAAAATAATATTTTGCACAAATTATATTCTAAAAATCTTTTGATATACTTATTATTTATATATAAAAAGTCAATATATATAATTTTGTTGTTAAAAACTCACAAAATAAAGTGAATGTTAGTTGTAGTTTTTCAACTCGTGGTAATTTTCGTAAAATATCATAACAGCAATGTATAATCTTAAATAAACTTTTATCAAGTCACAATTTATTACAAGAATGACTAAAAAGACGATAAAATCTTTATCAAAACCCATTACTAATATTTGTTCTAACTATACATTTTTCAGGTTATTGTTTTCATTAGTTCTACTGCGCCCGTATGATCATTTTTAGATCGTATACATTTTAGTGTTTAAAATAATTTTAATATTTTAACATTTTTTTAATACATATTAAAATGGCTTCACGATAAACTTTATGAAAAGATACATTTATATTTTTGATTGGTTTCCCGTTAAACCAAATTATTGGTAGTAAATTACCGTCAATAAGACAAGTACTATCGGTTTTTTTTTTAATATTCGTCATGTTAACCTTATGTTAGCATACTTGAAAGCTCTAAACTGACAATAAAAGAGGTTAGTATTTTTTGGCAAAAAGCGCGTATATCTATCAGTGCTGAACAGTATTGCATAAAAAAAGTTCAAAAATATTACGATGAATGGAGAAATTTACAAAAACTGCAATACAGAAAATCTGACACTCAAGCAAAAAAAAAAAAAATGAAGAATTTAGTTCAAAACTAAATGATTTGTTTGACATTGCTCAAGTTGATGCTCTGAATTTAATGTCATTACAAGAAGATAGAGATTTTTTATTAATGCAAAGACAAAAAGGACATCCTGGTATTATGGTAGGAGTTGATATGAATATTACACAAAAAGAAAAAAAGAGCCAATGAAAGGTTAAAGATGTCCGAAAAAAGACGTAAAAGAAGTTATCACGAGATACAATCATTGAGCAAGTTTAATGTTGTTTTAGAATTATTATTTAATAATTAAGTATGTATTTTAAATGCGCAAGTAGAAATGTGCTCATCATCAGAGTCTGACGTCGCTGAAGATGATTTTAACAAGACCGGACAGCCTAAAATGTATGTTAAATAACCAACTAGAGGAAGTATTGATTTTATTACGCCAAAACTTGCAGCTACACTCGATAAATGCAAAATTAGTGATAGAGATGCAGTTCATATATTAATTTCAACAGCAGAAGCATTAGGTGAGGACGTTCAAAAATTAATTATAAATAGATCTTCAATTCGAAACTCACGCATACGTTTCCGTAAAGAACGCGCTGAAAAAATCCGTAATAATTATTTGGTAACTATTAAAGATTCCGTTGTCATTCATTGAGATGGTAAACTTTTACTTTCATTAACAGGACAAAAAAGTGTTGATCGACTTCCTATTATTGCTTTATGTAATGGTGAGAGTCAATTACTAGGAGGTCCAGCAATTGATACGGGAACAGGGGTTGATCAGGCTGATGCTATTTTTCATATACTTATTGATTGGTGTATTACAGAAAATGTATAGGCTTTTTGATGTGATAGTACGGCTTCAAATATGGGTAGATTGAAAGGTACTTGCGTGTTATTAGAAAATTACTTAGAACGTAATATTTTGTACTTGCCATGTCGACACCATATCTACGAGCTAATATTAAAATGTGTTTTTGAAGTTAAATTATGTCTAACATAATGATGTACCAATATTTAAACGGTTTCAACAAAATTGGAGAAATATAGATACTAACAAATTTGAGCCAGGTATAATGAACGACATTGTAAACAAAAAATTTAATTATGTATATACTGATGTAACTATCTTCGCAAATAACTATTTGCTTATCAAACAATCCAGAGAAGATTACAGAGAGTTTTTAGAACTAACAATTATTTTTCTTGGTGGAGTTCCCCTAAGGGGAGTTTCCTTTAGAGTTCCGGGAGCTATACATCATGCTAGATGAATGACAAAAGCTTTATATTGCTTAAAAATATTTATATTCCGAAACCAATTTAATTTAACCCAAAAAGAAGAAATGTCAATAGCTAGTATTTGTATATTTATAATTAGATTATACGTAAGAGCTTGGAATAGTGTACCACTTGCTTCTAATGCACCATACTAAGACTTTAATTTTTTAAAAGATTTGGTAAATTATCAGTCAATAGATAAAAATATATCAGAAGTTACAGTTAGAAAACTGTGTGGTGATTTATGATATCTATCGCCAGAGAATACGGTATTATCACTTTTTGATAATAATGTTCCATTTGATACAAAGAGAAAAATTATAGCTGCTCTAATAATCCATACAGATGATGATGTACCAAAAAAATATTTATTGAATACAAAAGAAGCTACTGGAATATTAAATAAAAATCTTGAAGATTTTATCTGTGAAAAATTTTTCAAACGTTTTAATATAGATACTAGTTTTCTGACCATTGACTCATCATTATGGAGCACTGATGAAAATTTCAAGATATCAATAGACCTTATTAATAACAATAATGTAGTAAATGATATAGCTGAAAGGGGTGCTATACTAATGGAGGAGTTTAATACGATGCAAAACAAAAACAATATTTGCTTCAAGTAGTAAATGATTACCGCAGTAAATATCTTGATTTCAAAAAGAGTACTCTTTTAGATAATTAGTTCAATGATTAATTTTTAGTTTTAATGTTTGATGTGTTTTTGTAAATTTTTAAAATAAAAATTTTTCGTATTATAAAATTAACACTGAATTCACTTTATTTTGTGAGTTTTTAACAACAAAATTATATATATTGACTTTTTATACATAAATAATAAGTAAATCAAAAAATTGTTTAGGATATAATTTATGTAAAATATTATTTTAAACAACTTTTGATTTTACAATTTAGTTGTGAATCCATTATTTCACGCGCTGAACTAAAAAGACAATGAAAAATGTACGGTTATTCAAAATTTTTGAGTTATCAAACTTTAGGCCTTTTGTTGCACGGGTTAATCTTTTCTGATTTACCTGAAACATTGTGTAACTCATTTTTATAAGTATTGGAACTAATTTTTAATTAATTACTGTATAGAAGAGTTGCCAAATGCTGTGAACGAGCATCTGTATGAAACATTTGCTCGTGCGTTTTGTTTCGAAAAAGTGTAGACGACGCTCTCGTATTCTACCTTCATAATCGTTGTAAGTTAAGCACTTAGCGTTCTTCGATTTCATTTAGACGTTGTTGTAGAACCGCGTTATTTTAGGTTGTGTTGTCCGGTCCGAAAGTTACATGGATCGGTTCGGACAGGTACGCGTAATTAGTATGATATGTTCCTACCGGTTTTCGCATTATCTGTGAGGCGGTAAACCGATTCCATACGATCTCGTCTTTGTGTTGCGGTTTAAAATATTTCTAGAGAATGACCGGATTTCCTACGGATTTTACCCTATCTTAAGGTTTTCATACTTTAAATCAATATTAGTTTGGTTAATAATCTATTGTCAGGGAGCCATTTGATAGGAAGTAGTAGACGCAAATAAGGTAGACGATACCAAGTTGCATTAGAAGTGGCGTAGAGCCATTTATTCATTGCAAAGAAAAAAACCAGTAAGCGCAAGCGTATACAACTAATTAATGGCCAAATTATTTCGAAACAATACGTATCACGAAGATGATTTCAACGTACAGTTGTGGTGGTGGGTCGTTGTCGACCATGGGTTACTCGCTGGATTTTTTAATATTTAAAATTAAATAAATATGAGAACATTTTCTACAAAAATTACGGGTCGTCGTCGATAGTGTGGCACTTGTTGGACTTTGTACCGTGGCGTATAGCACTCAATATTGGTTAGTCAAACTATTATATACAAGTAGTAGACGATGATAGAAGATGGTGACGCGGTTGGTTTTTAATATTGTTTTAATATCTAAAATTAAATAAATTAAATTTGGATAAATTTGTAAACATTTTCTACAAAATAGCACATTTTTAATCGAAATTGAGATTTACATAAAAACGTTCTAATCAAATACAGATAAATTTAAATCCATAAGTTTTTACATAAAACAAATAATCCAATTTAAATTTACGTTAAATTTAATTTAATTTTAATATAAAATATTTTTTTTAAATTATTGTATTCTGAAATATCACTTCAGCTGTACATAAATCAGTAATTAAACAAAGTTAATAATAAAGTACTACTATATTTATATATATATGTTAGCTACCATTCTCTATCAATATTTAAAAAGTGCTTAAATAGAAATTGTTGTATGTTAGAGTTTAAATTATTTTCAACGATTATTAATTACTTATATCACATAATAATATAGTTTATATTTGTAGAAAGTTATTTGAAAAATAAAAATTAATCGCCGTATTTATTTTACCTCTATAAAAAGAAAAGATTAATATTCTTTTTTATATTTATATTTTACATTTTTTTTTATATTTATAACTGAAAAATGTATATAGAAAATAACAATTTGCATATATTCATTTTAAATCTTTTTTAGTTCTAGACTAGTCATAATTAATATTAGTATTTTATTTTCAATGGAATTTTATTCGATTATTTTAATGTCTATTGGCATATCCGTTTTAAAAATAGACGAAGGAGTAAATTGCATTTGTAATTATGTTAACAATTATCCCGATAATTATAGAAATTACATAAAAACAGTGATTGATTATATTTCTTCACATATTGAATTGAATGAAATACTAAATCTTAAATTAAAAGAAGATTCAAATACTACTTTTAGTGTAGAGGAAGTTTTCATATCCCATAGAAAATACACTAAATTCAAAACTAACTATTTTTATACAATAAATGTATTAAATTTCAAGTACACTGAAATACTAAAGAATTTCCTCGATTACATTGATATTATTCTCCAAAAATGTAAGCAATTTCATGAAAGAAATTTAGAAGAAAATTTTATTTGTTGTGTAACATCACTCGTTGAAGAAGTGAAGAATTCAAAGACTATGTTTGAAAATCTTCACAATGCTATGACTTTTTTTAGCTACATTGATGTAAGATTTGTGTTCCAAGGATCCATTATGCCAAATGTTATAATTGATGAAATCGACTTTTTTCAAAAATATGTACTTCAAAAAATATCAGAGAACAGCCATTTAGATCTTAACAGACATTTTGATCTGAACTGCTTACCAAATTTTCAAGACTCTGAAATGAATTTTAAGAATTTAAATGAATTTCATACAGTTGCATCAAAAATAGTAAATAATCTCTATCAAAATAGTAATATTATTATCGACACTTCTATAAAATCCAATTCGACAACAATTGACATGAATGAAGATGACTCTTATTTAGTCTATTTAACATGTAGTAAACTTAAATCGTTTTATAATAAAAACATAGAAATTTGGTATAAAAATCTTGGCTTTGAACAATTTCTCAATCCCAAAACACCTCAGTAAGAATGCTTTTTATTTATATTAACTTTCTATTCTAATTTTATATTAGAATATAATTAATATGACATATTTTTGAAAATACAAGAAATTTAAATTTAAGGTTTAAGTTCTGTGTTAGTTAGATGATATATGAACTGTATTATAATAAATATAACACAGTCTGTGTACAAATTTGAAAAAATTATTATTTATTTACAAAATAAACAAATTCAATAATGATAAGTTTTCTATCCTTTTATTTTCTGAAGTTGATATTCTACTTTATGTGGTGATCCTTTTTTCACATTACATTAAAGACCAGACACCACCAATTAGAAAATCACAAGAAAAGTTTTTTAGTTTTTCAATTTGGATTCATTTAAACTTACTTATTCCTCCTAAATTTCCAATATTGTAAATAAGTCCTTATCCTAAAAATAATAATGTTGTAATATATATAATGTTACTATAAAATATTGTTTACCAGAAATCATATATTTTCCCTCGATATTTTAATATTTTAATAGAAATATATATTTTAATTATTTTTCAAAAATTTCAATTGAATCGAAATAAAGCAATAATTTATTAATAATATTTAAATTTATTTAATCTATGTGTTCATTAATAATCTTAATATTTTTATTAATATAGACTCTTACCACCAATAGATCCAAATATTAATATAAATATGGGAATTAAAGCTTTCAATATACTTCGACAGGAATCTGGTTGGAAAACGATGGAACACATTAATATAGTTTATAATGGAAAATTATTTAGCGTAGATTGTATTATGAAAGACCCAATTAATATCATGAATTTTCAAATAAAAAAAGAACATGTAATACAATTATTAAGATGTAGATACACAGAAATAATAAAAAATTACCATGTCTTATTATCTTCTATATTGTCTTTGTGCAGTACAAAAGTAAATGGATTCAGCTACAATTGTTTGATTAAACTATTTGACTCATTCAACAAATCTAAAATAATGTTTGAAGGTTTGCATACAGCCTTAATTACTTTACAGAAATCATCTCTATGGAATTATACTTTTTTGTCTCATTCGAATTTACAAAAAATATTAAAATGGATTGAAGATTTCCTTAGTTTATTGAATAATAATGAATTTTCTCAAGATAATTTTGTCGGTCAAAATGGTATTTTAATCACTGAGATTTTAGATAAAAATTTGAAAAATTTTCTAAATGTTCTTAAACAATCTAATATGGAGTTAAGGATCGATTTAAAAAACATGACCTTCCGTTGTAATATGAGAGAACCTTATTATAAAAAATCTATATCAATAAAATATTTCAAGTATTTAGCAAGTAAAATGAGAAGTGCATATTATGAACAGTCAATCCAAATTTATTCTTATGCATGTAATTATTTTGACGAATTTTGTAAAAATATTTACAAATCTTGTTATGAAAATTTAGGATTCAGAAAGGTTTACTCTCTCAACAATAGTTCTGATAAAATATTAATTGTGCATTAGATTGATTATTCATCTACTTAGTTTTCATTACATAGTAAATGTTAAGTATCAACAAGTTGAATTTAATAATTAAATTTCATAAAATTATTACTAGAATAAATGTACTAGTTCACTATATTTCAAGTCAAATTTAATGTTTAAAAATCATTAAAAAAAAAACATTTTTTTTAACTTGCTACATTTTTTGAAGTGTTTACCCGCACACTTAATATAACATAATTATAAACACACTTCAATAAATTATAAAAAAAATAATGCTGTATAATCTATATCGTTAAGAACTACCATATGTTTTAGATTTAATAAAATTAAAATATAAATTGTAAAATATTTTTAGCATAAATTTTTATAAAATTGTTAAAAAGTGTAAATCCACTAAATTACATATCTACAAAATTTTATAGCTCAATTAAAATTTTAATACATAAAGTGGGAACAATTTTGAAATAGTAGAATCAACTCGTACGCATTGTATACATACTCCACTTGCATTTTATACCCACTTTATGTAACAAAAATTATATTATTAATGTTTGCAAATGAGTATTATCTTAATATTATTATGATCCTATCAAAATTTTTATAAAAAAAATGGCTATTTTGAAAATACTAAAATTTTTTTTTTCTTATTAGTGACAAATAATAAAAAAGATGCATTAGACGTAGTAAAAAAAGCGATAATTATTTTATAAAAAGTACCTTGATATGCCCTTCATGTAAATATAGTTGAAATATTCAGTTGAGATTATCTGAGCACAGGTCTAGTTCCTAGTTATTGACAACATATAATTTTAATAAACAGAAAAAAATTGATTTATAATTACTATAGTTTTTGTTATGTATTCATAGCGGTAATGACTATAAATCGGATTCGACCGAAAACACCATTTAATGAGGTACGTCGTTATTTTTCTCAACATTAAAAATACACTTTATCTTCAGATATAAAAATAATTTTTTTTTGTAATATAATTACACATTACTTTTTTTGATCTTTATTATTAGATAAGATATTTCAATATATTAAAATATTTTTCTAGTTTCTTAATTTGGCCTTTCCCTTAAATTGGTTATAGTCACCGGTATAATAAAACGAAATCAATGATAAATACATTTTAGCATAAAATCTAAAACTTTAAGTAATCTTAAAACACAAAAGGGAAATCGAATAATAAGCTTTATTCAATAATCAAAATAAGATAAAATATCATATATATATTATAAGTTGGTATTTGATCAATTGGTTGCTATAGAAGTTCTATCGTCGTAGAATCTCCAAGGGTTCAGAACAATAAATACAAGTATATATTAAGAGGACGCCATACAGATAATGAAAAATGGGTTTAAACATGTCTTGCGGGGGACTACTTCATTTGATCTGTATTGATGTTAGAGTTTCAAAATTTTTACCAAATTATAGAGGACAAAATTATCTGTGATCTAGCGTTTTTATTTTTTTGTTAACATAATTTCTAGTACTTTATATTTACTATTAAACATTCCTATTTTTTTGGTTTTTTAAATGTTTAATAAATAGCTTCAGAGTTGTGTTATCAAAATTATAAAAACGCTAGATCACAGATAATTTTCTCCTTTATAATTTGGTAAAAAATTTGGGACTCTAGCATCGATACAGATCAAATAAAGTAGTCCTGCGCAAAACAGTTTTTATGCAAAATAATGAATTTTTTGTCTATCGACATGTGTCGGTCCCTAGTGGCATTTATAACGTGACGAATTTTTTGTTGAATGACGGTAACCGATTACCCTCACCCTTCAACTGCTACCTTGCCAACGATCAAAACCAGTTATTTTTATACTTTGTTATCGACGAACCGGGGCACCATTTAGCAGTCGCTTATCTGAATTTGTAAAATAATTGTTATTATTGACGGGTGATAAGACTTAAATTTTAACTTTACTGTGTTCATTTTTACACGTAAATAATAATGCAAATATAATGAAAAGATTTATTGATCGGAAATCTGTCAGAAATTTACGTGGAGTTTTATTTTGTAACATTAGAAAACATTCTTGTTACGAATATGAGTCCACAGTATACATTATATTCGTGGGCAGCAGGATGGATCAAACGTCTTTTTAGTAGTAGTAGTCTTTTTAGTAATTTAAAATTAGATATTCTTTCTCCAAAAATTAATTATTTGCCAAAAAAATAAAGGTCATCATTAAAAATTTTGTGTATTAAATTAAAGTTTACCAGTCCTGAATTTATTTATACGTAGTATATTGTATCACTTAAAACCATTTTTTGTGAGTTTTAAGACTCGTGTATCAGTTTTATAAAAATTTTGTAACACGAATAATAGGCCTTGGCGTTATTAAACAGCATTTTACAAATTTCTGATTGACTGCAAATATATTTATGATACATAGAATACTCCTTACATAATACATTTATTTTATGCATGTAATAAGTGGGCGTACGCACTAAGTTTACTTGCATTATAGTGAGTATAAACTTAAATTAAATTTTATATGAGCATTTTGGTATTCAAATTTTTTAATCTAAAATAAAATCTGCTATTGCGTATTTTTTTAATTCAGAGATAAACATTTTTAATTTACATTTTTTGCACATACCAGATTTTTCATGCCTAGCTTAATTTAAGGTTAGTTAAAAATAATGATTCTTTCGAAATTTGAATTTGAATTTGAATGGAATGAAATGGTAGAAAAATGATATATGATAAAGGGATTTTTGATAAATGTGAAATGGTATTTATTTTATGATATCTATAACCGTTTGATAATCGGTATCTAATTCGTTTATGTGTATTATTTTTTGGTAATATCTTTCACAAATTTTATACTAATCAAATATGAATTTACACTCTTATTTCTTGCTTCCACAGTTCCCAAAGAGATTACTGAAATCGGATATAAAAAAAAAAAAAAAAAAAAGTGACTAAATTCACTAATTAAAATCACTATCATAAGAAACGCTTCGATTCAAATCTGTAGATAGTGTTTAATTCTAAGAAATTGATGGATAATTACAAAAGCAACATCAACTTCTATTTCCTTAATTATACCCAGATTAGTAATTCTTTTAATTATAAATTATATAATTTTTTAAATTAATTGTTTTCATATTATTATTGATTTTGATTTTTAATATGTTAAAAGTAATCATTTTGAACCTACTTTTTTTTGTCCTTTAAAGTGAAAGTTTTAATAAAAAAAAAATTAATTTGTTACCATAACTTATAGTTCAACTTGCAAGTTTGAAATTGACATTATTAAATAGAAAAAATGAAATTTTTAAGATTAATATGCAATCAGAAATTATAACTACTTTTTATAGTACATGTATCAGAAAAATTCGATTTTTTTAAATTTTTATCGTAATAGATAACTGAAAATGAAATAATAGTAATCATTTCCTAATAACTTTTAATCATTGATTATAATGTTTCAAGTTTTGAACGCCCCCTATATAAGGGGAAATTGACCAATTTTAATAAAAAGTATGTCAAATGAAAGATGTACTTTTTATAGTACATGTATCAGAAAAATTCGATTTTTTTAAATTTTTATCGTAATAGATAACTGAAAATGAAATAATAGTAATAATTTCCTAATAACTTTTAATCATTGATTACAATGTTTCAAGTTTTGAACGCCTCCTATATAAGGGGAAATTGACCAATTTTAATAAAAAGTATGTCAAATGAAAGATGTACTTATAATGTATTTAGAAAAAAAAAATTGTGCTGATACTTACATTTTTCGAAAAGTTATAGCATCGAAATAAAATCGAAATAAAATTAAATCGAAAATTTTAACACAAAAATAGCGTTTTTTTAACTACGGCTTCCGTTTGCATGCAGAAGATAAAGTGTCGGGACAAATTTTTTTTTTCATTTTACAGTACATAAAATAAGCTTTAATTTGGTATATGTTTAAAGGACGCAGTATTTCCGCAACATTTTCAAAAATTAAGTTGAAAAAGTTAGTTTTTGTAAAAAAGTTGCTATTTTAAATCCCCCCCAGTGAGCAGGTTAAGTGTTAAATTTNAAAAGTTGCTATTTTAAATCCCCCCCAGTGAGCAGGTTAAGTGTTAAATTTTCAAAAAAATGACATCAAATATAAGGGAAATATCTAAGGTTTTAGTATAAAAAAAAATTATGTTGATTTGTAGATTTTTAAAAAAGTTATGGAATTTTTAAGAAAAAAAGTGAAAAAAATGACAAAATTTACCAATTTTTAAAATTGTAATTTTTTTGGAGATTTGTGATTGGAGAGCTGAGAAAAAGTAGTGACAGACACACAAAAAAAAAAAA